GTCACTTTCTGTCTCTCTGTCTCTCTCTGTCCTTCTGGCGAGCACATGCACCCTATAGTAAAAACCTCTCAAAAAAAAATAAAAAAGTATCCGTATAACTCAGTTACAGATATTTTCCAAACAACCAATTCATAATGTTTTAAAAATCATACATGGGGGGCCAACAGGTGGCATGGTGGTTAAAGGTGCTGGACTCCTACACGGCTGACTGCAGTTCGAGTCTCAGGCCTGGTGGCTTCCTTTCTCTCTCTCTCTTGTTCAATCGCTCTGTCCCTCTCTGGTCAAATTAACAAAAAATAAATAAAAGTTTAAAAAAAAATTTTTTTAAATCATACATGAATAAAAGATCTATTCAGGGTCAGCAGGTGGCATGGAGTTTAAGGCAGTCAGCTCCCATATGTTCAAGCAAACAGTTCCCGTCCCAGACCTAGCAGCTTGAAAATTACAACATGTGTGTGTGTGCCGAAATTCCCAAGAGGAGAATGGAGAAGAATAACAGCCTGGCCATCCCCTCTGTTGGGTGATCTCTCACTTTCCCCTTCTCTCTTTTTCTACAGCAAATGCACATGCCCTGTGGCAAACAATTAGGGCTCAGCAGGTGGCATGGTGGTTAAGGGCACCGGCAAAGCCATCCCCCCCCCGGGGGTGATTTCTACTTTCTTTCTCTCTCTGTCTCTTTGGCAAGTGCACATGTCCTATAGCAAAAATCTCTCTCTAAAAAAAAATGTATTTATGAAAAAAGAAAATTTATTGATGTATGTAGGCTGGCCCCCTAGCCTAGTAGGTAAGGGAACTGGATCCCACATGGTCAAGCATTGCTCAAATCCCAGACCCAGCAGCTTGAAAAACATGATAGTCACCTTAGCCACTATACTACCTGCTGGTCCCAAGTTTTTTTGTTAGTTTTAAATGAACTCAAAAATATTTTTAAATTTCTTTTAATTTTTAAGATAGTAATATAAATAGATATAACACACATAAACAAAAACTCTGTGAGAGTTCAATACTTATTATGAATATAAGAGGTCCTGAGAACAAAACTGCTACTTTAGTTATACCAGATTTTTCTCACTTTTTTTTTTTTAAAGAATTATTTAACTTTATTTATTTATTTTAATTTAACCAGAGAGGGACAGAGTGAGAGAGAGGGAAAGA